TGCTGCCACCCGCGTCGGCTGAGGCGGTGGGCCCGGCGCCCCCGGGGGCTGTGCGCTGCGCCCTCGGGGACCGTGGCCGCGTGCGGGGCCGGGCTGCGCCCTACTGCGTGGCCGAGCTCGCCGCTGGCTCCAGCGCGCTGCCCGGGCCGTGCCGGCGAGGATGGCTCCGGGACGCCGTCGCCTCCCGGAGTCTGCAGCAACGACGATGGACCCAAGCTGGGACACGCGCAGGCGACGACGACCCGCACCGGCTCCTGCAGCAGCTCGTGCTCTCGGGAAACCTCATCAAGGAGGCCGTGCGGAGGCTCCAGCGAGCCGTCGCTGCGGTTGCAGCCACGGGCCCCGCGGACGCCCCTGGGCCTGGTGGCGGCCGCAGTGGACCAGACCCTGTCGCCCTGCAGCCTTCGGGCACCTTGCTCTGACCCGGGCCTCCTGAAGGAGGAAGAGGTGACCGCTGCGCAGACCCAGCCACGTCCCGCCCCATCACCAACCCTGACCTGAAGCCGCCGTCGCCATCCTGGGAGCGACCGCCTAGGCTGCGGGGAGGCGCGTGGGGAGAGACCTCAAGCCGAGAAGTTACCCTCCTTGGCGAGGCTGTCGGAGAAAACGGAAGCGTGGAGAAATGCACGGGCGGGGCGCGTCCGTGCTGCGGGGGCATGTCCCTGGCCGTCCAGGGCCAAAGACTTAGGATACATTGGGAGAACTATGGCAGCTACTTGCACCGACTTGTACTTGACTTAGCCCTTGGGGGCGGCGTGTGCTTGGATTGTTTAAAGATAGGGCTCGGAGGGGCGGGAATCGCGAGGGCTTTATGACAATACTTGAAAACTAATGACATGCATACATTTTCTCGTTATTTTCCGGTGGAGGAGCTTAGTGAAAGTGGTGCTACAATTGCTGTGCGAAGAAATTCCGGAGGGGAGAAGACTGTAAAAGCTTGGCGGTGGGTGGGTTGCCATCGCTCGCTCCCTCCCAACATCGGTGGCTGGTGGAGGTGGGAGATGTGAACTCCAGATGGGGGACCAGAGGAAGGTGGAGAGTTGGATTTGGATGTGGACTTGTAAATGACTTGACCTTGCCACTTGTGATTCAAGGTCACGGTTTGCTGTAAGTGGAAGGCTGTGGGGTTCCTGGGAAAGTTCACTCACCCTGGGTGTGTTTTCTTCCGCTCCAAGAAGAGCCCTGTCTGTGCTTTGCTACTGCTTGGAGTCTCCCGAGGACACACACAGGCAGAGAGGGACGTGTGCGGAGTGTGTTTGCTTTTTCTGTGCTTTCCTCTTTCCAGAACTTTTCCTCCTCCTCCTGTAAGGCCACTCTTGGCCATGCCACGAGCTTTCTCAGAAACAGTCATAAATCTCTTGAATCTTTCTCCTGTCCTCCCAACCGGGCTTTCTTATTTCACCCTTTCCGGTGTCTGCCACACTTGCTGGTATCTGTAGGGATGGATGAGAGTCCTGAACGTTTTTCTCCTCTGTTCTGGCCCTCCCTGGTGCCGTGGGCATGAGCCTCCGTGGGTCCTCACCCGCACAGTTTTCCTTCTGCCATGCCAGCTCTTTGTGAGTGACTGAAACTTTTAAAAATGTGACTCTCCCAGAGGAGAAAGTGCTGGCTTTAGCCCTGTGAAACTTGACGGCGCTTGTGTAAGGTGCCACCCCCAAACTTTAAGGTAGCTAAACCAATTTTTTAAAAATTCAATGGCTTGTTCATCCTCCAGATGTAGCTATTGATGTACACTTCGCACCGGAGTGTCTGAAATTGTGGTGGTCCTGATTTATAGGATTTCTTAATTAAAATGTCTGCTGAATAAATTTTGTTCTGTTTCGGAGCATGGTTTGGCTTTTGAGGGGATATGCGGGAGAGAAAAGCACATAGGGAGACCTTAAAATGAAGAGTGCACTTGGGGTAATTCGGGGGGCCTGGGCAAACGGCTGGGGCCAGCTCCACGCAGCACCGAATCCCAGTAGAGCTGCAGTCTTGAGTGCTTCTGGGTTGCTGTTCCACAAGATCAGAAAATGAAGTCCAGATTTTTAGAAGCTGCTAGGTAGGTTTCCATTCCCTCTGTGGAAAAAGAACATATTTCCAGAAGCACTTTCTGGGATGGAGGGCAGAGAGGCGCTGTGTTTTGAGGGAGGTGGGTTTTCATCTGGATTTTTTTGTATGAAGAATGGGGTGGTGGTGGGGGGGGAATGGGCACAGGCAAAGCCAGCCTGTTTTCTCCTTTGAGACTGACCTATTCTTGAGCTGTCGCTTAGGGAAAGAGAAACAGGGTTTTACAGTGATTTATTTGGTAGTTGTAAAATGGCTTGGTTTGAGCAGGCGTACAGCCCTTCCTAAGCACTCTTCCTCCTTCCTGCTTTTCCCTTTTTGAGGAAACCTTCCTTGGTACAGCCCAGCTCTGCTAACCAGCCCCCTTGGGGACCTCTCCTGCTCAGCCTACTCAGGCTGGCTGCCGGGGAAGGCTAGTGCTCAGTGACTCAGGTTCAGCTCAGCCCTGCTGCTCACCAGCTGTGTCATGTGGGCATGTCACTGCTTTGAGCATTTCCTTTCTCTCATTTATAAAACAATAATGCTTAATAGGGTAGTTAGGAAGGTTAAATGCTCAAAAAATGATAACTGCTAATTCTTGGCACCACTACGTGGCTTTATGTATCATGAGGTAGGCACTATTATTCCATTTTATAGATGAGGACACTGATGCCCCAGAAGTTCAGTGACTTCTCTAAAGCCACTGACTTTTAGGTGGTGGAGCTGAGATTTGAATCTGTATGGCTCTAGGATCTCCGCCTTTCCTTAATCAGGTCTTTGGGTCATACCTTGCCACCTACATGAGACACTTGATGCCATTTTCTCCCATGATGGATTTATTCAAGTTCGTAAGAGCATCCTACAAACCTTGACCCACTAATACTTCAGCACAGTAGCATCATCATTCTTAAAATCTTTTGTGCGTCAGCCACATAGGTGCAAGGTGCTGGGGATCTGGGATGAGACAGGGTTTGAGACATCCTGGTAGAATCCACGAGCAGGTTTGGGGGCTGAGACCCTCACATAAGGGGAAAGGAGTTGCTTAGAGAAGAAGCACAGATAACAAATGGTACATGGCTGCTTCCTTCAGAACCATGGGTCCTCTGTAAGATGAGAATGTAGAGCCAAGACACAGAGGCCTCACTCAGGGCAGGTGTCCTATGGGTCTGCAACACGGCCAGAACAGCACTCAGGAATGCGGTTAGAATGGTGACTGCAGACAAAGAGAAAAGATCACAGGACCTGAGAAGCAAGGTAGAGAGAGAGGAAGGGAACTGAGCCCTGCTATGTGCAGTCACACTGGTAGGCAACTTTTAGAAGACAGTACTTCACTCTACAATGGTGAGAGGTAGGAATTATTGGTGGTAGAGCAAGATCTGAACTCAAGGCTCTTAAGCTGATCCTCTTGCCTCCTCTCTGAGCCTACCCATATTCCTTTCTTCACACACCCCTGCTACTGATCCAGCCATTTGCAAAGGTCGTGTAGAGCTAGTCCCAGCCCTGGGCCTTGCGAAATGTCTCTGTGTTTAGGTGGCAGTTGCCATTTTCAAAGTGTTGCAGCTTGGGATGCCCCATTCCTAATACTGGGCCTGGGGGTGATTTTGGCTCGGATATCTGCAGCCCCTTGGGATGGGCACAAAACTGGGAGTGTGTGCAAGGGTGGAGTTGAGACGAATCCATCTTCTGAAGGGGCCCATGCCTAGCTCTCCCTGGTAACATTCTGCAAGTGTTGAGCCCAGAAGGACCACAACAATAGAGAAGTGGCAAAGGAGAAGCTGGGTGAGTATGTGGGGTGGTGGGGGGCGTTGAGGGGAGGGTTGGTTAGGAGTTTCATGTGGGAAGTTACAGGAACAGCAGCCTGGTGCCTTGTAAGTGTCTAGGAGAGAGACCAGAGATGAAGATAAAGATTTGGCAGTTAAAGAGGGGTGGATAGAGCCTAGGAGACGTTGGCAGGTTGGGCAGCAATAACACTGGCTAACGTACATAGTGCTTACCATGTGCCTGGCTGTGTTCTAAATGCTTTACAGAGACCAGCTCATTAAATCTATGTGAGAAGAAGAAAAGTACACTAAAGGATCAGACAGAAAGTAAAAGTAGAACCGGGAGAAACCAAAGAGGCTGTAGGGTAAATTGTAGAGGTGGTAGAATATGTGAGTACTTAACACATGTGCGAGTACACACGCAACACAGACACAAACACAGGCCACAGGGATCCAGGGTATGGAAACAGATCTTGCTCCAGACTGTCTTTTTTGGACCCTGACGTTAACTCAACTTCCACCTATCAGCACCATTAAGTAGTGGTTCATTTTTTTTGGCGGCCGGCTGGTACAGGGATTGAACCCTGGACCTTGGTATGTGGTGTGTTTTGAACATCTGCCCTGAGATCCTCCTGTCCTTAACCCAGCTGAAGAAAAGTACTATTTATGATGCATCTGAAGAAAGGGGTTTGTGACTTTAATGTCTGGGGAAGATTTTCAGGAAAACCTAGGAAACCACTTTTCACTAATATTAGGCTGTGGCATGTAATTTAGATAGTTAAAAAAGAAACGGGCAAAAGGCAGGGAAAAGGTAACAAGATGATAACAAGCTTTTTTTTTAACTCACCCAAATCAGTAAGTCAAACGAACGGCCTGAATAGCCTAACCGTTGGGGCTTGTGAATTTTGCCTCCTGTGAGTCAGTTAAAATTGATAAGGGGAAGCAGTTAATAAACTCCTTGGTATCAGTTTTAGTATTCATTCTATTGTAGCGTCAGTTACAGAGAGTTCGTTCACACAGAAACAACAAACATACGCAGCCATCCCAGGCATGACGCCATGAAGAGCTAATCTGTTGGATCCTGGGCCTCATTGTGGTGGGACAGTATGTGATACTGGGTGCTGTCATGTGGGACATCCACACTAACAGTCCCCCTGAACTCTGCCCTTCAAACCTGCCCAGACTAGGGACACCATCCCTTCCCACCTTCTCCAGGAGCCTATGCCTTTATAGGATCTTTTTTTTTTCCTTTTTGTCTTTTTTACTGACCGGTAACGGGATCACAACCCTCGGTGTCATGCCCTTACGGGGACTGGCAACGGGATCGCAACCCTCGGTGTTGCGCCCGCACCGCGCTCAGCCAGTGAGCAGGAACCGGTCTCCACATGGGGTCCGAACCCTTGGAGGGAGCGCCGCCGCGATCCCAAGCGGCGCACTCTCCAGTGCGCCACCGGGCCAGCCCATATAGGATCTTCTTTTTAATTTCTCCATTTCATATCCTCCATCTGCATTCGGACAAGCATGGGTCTCCCCTGTGCTGGAGAGTTCCCTTCCCGTGGTTGGGTAAATCTTCTCTTGGCCCTATTTTCCCTTCTTAGTTGCTGTCGCTCCTTTACCAGTTTCTTCAGACTTCTAGGCACTACAACTCATCATCTATGTCCCAAGCACTCCACTCCCTTAAGGAGTCAGTTGAAATTGCCCTATGCATTTGCTCAGTAAATATTTACTAAATTCCAATAACCAGGTGTTGTTACTAAATGCAGCTATGTT